TTATGGAGCTGAAGTAGCTTTAACCCCAGTCTTAAATTAGCCAAAATTTTAATAATGGGATTGCTATATTATTGCAGTGGTGATGGTAGAGCTATTGGGAGTGATTGCATGATCTGTCTTTATGACAAATAGGGCTGTGACAGGCATAGAAAATGCTTTTGGCCACCATTGGCTCAAGTGCTGTACTCAAGAGTCTCTGCCATTGGCTGAACTGAGTCCAACTGTTCTGCTCATAGACAAGCAATAACACAAATGTCCTTGTCCTTGATGTGGCAAATAAAGCTGCAGGTGGCTAGGGAATACAAAAGTGAAGAATCACATTAATTTGAAGTGGTCAGATCTTTAACTACAATCTTCTATTTTATATAAGAAGTAGAACATTTCAAGTCGCAAAGATAAAAATACCAACCTTCACTTCTGGCTTTATTGAGGATCCCCTCGGGTTGCTAAGCATCTGTCTCCAAATATCCCTGTTCTGAAAATGTTAAAGGCTTGCTAATACTTTATCCCACAGTGGCAGAAATTCACTATCATGGAAACTATACAGCTCAAATAAACATCTATAGGTAGAACTAAATTAACAGTTAAAATCAGACCAGGTTCTAAATCAACATCTTGCAATATAGCTGATGGCCCAGGCGAAAAGCTGGCTACAGTGCAACTTCTTAGTCACTGGGGGGCAGCAGCACTAAAGTATAAAGAATGTGCCTTTGTATTTTAAATTATTCACATAACGCATGCCAAATGAATTATATGATTATTTCAGTCTGAAAAGCTAATATCCACCTCCTCAAAATATAATTTTATTGCCAAGGGTCATTAAAAAAGAAAAAAAAGTTTGGAATTCTGCAGATGAGATAAATTTAGTTTTGTAATACTTTTTCTACTCATGATAATGCTCAGGTTTAGTACAAATCTCCATGAGTTTTTATAGTAACATTTACTTGGTGATTTTGCTGGTGTATTAATACACACACACACACACACACACACACACACACACACAGAGTCTACATATCTTTCAATACAATGGGTAGCAAATTGGGACAACAAAAGCTATTCACTGCTTTGCCATTCTGCATAGAAGCAGTCTCCTGTCTTGGTGCAGGCAACTGCCAAGCAGAGCAAATTTCCAGCGTGCCTTGAAGCTGGCTGGAACAAGTAGCACTGCAGTACCATTAATTTGGCCACAACTAAAAGCATCGCATCAGGAGCTGCATGACAATTGCACCCCCTTCCTTCTGTGAGTGAACCCAAGCTATGCACATCAGTGCTGTTGGCTCCATAGTAGTAATAATGATCTGTGAAACTGAATGATTTAGGTAAAAAGGAAAAGCACCTTGAAGAAGAATCCCACGTGACAGTTCTCCAAGCCTTTGCTTGCTGTGACAGTTGATGACTTTTTCTAGGCACTGGTTCTCAGCTGTGCATGGCTGCCTGAGTGGCTCATATGCTTGCAGGGAAATCAGGGAGTGGTGCTGTCAGGTCAGCATCACACATGAAAAATGACTTCTATATTCTGCCATGTGTTTCCTAGGACAACATGCCATTAGCGATACTATTAGCAGTTAGAATTATGGCAGGCAAGCAAAGAAACAAGCTTTCTGCAGTATTTCTTAACAACTAGGGAGAGAGCTTCCCAAATATTTCTTATTCTAGCACCACTGAGCCAGATTGCTTTTGCAATGAGAATAGCTGAAAATTTTAATTCTTACCAATTTAGGCCCCATTATCCTCATCTTGCACCTTCAAACTGGCAGATAAATCCTTTTGTGAACAGTAATGTGCATATTATCCGTTGAGGGTTCTGAAATGCAGTTTTGTTCCAATTAAATGGCTACTGTTTGACATTTCTCTGTTCTTCCTTTTACACACAGGTAAGAAATGTTCAGGGGGGACTATAGCTTTTGTAAAAGGTGCGAACAGGAAATCTTTGGTGTATGGGCTAGTTGGTTGAGATGCTAACAGCATGGAAAGGGATGGAATTTTTGAAACTACTTATTTCCAAAGGAAGTTTTAAAAATTGTTTCATTTATAATTTTTTGAATCATTGCAGTTTAGAGGGAGTAACTATAGATTAGTTTTATTATAGATGAGTTACTGACAATACATTCTTGAATTTATTTCTCAGTTTCTTTCCATTTCCAACAGGAGCCATATGTCTTTGGTAAATATAGCTTTCCCGGACTGCAGCATCCTTCTGTTTTTATCATTTATAATTAGCTTTCATATATTGTAAAAGATTGTGTTGTGTGTCTCATAAGGGTGCTTTATTTAAAAACAATGCCACCTCTCTGTTAGTTATTTGGATTTACTGTGGTCCACTATCTTTGTAGAATATATTCTGAAATTGGATGTTCCAGTAAGGAAAATATACTAACATTTTCGTATATGTACCTACTCAGAAGTAAGTGCCATTAAGCTCCATGGGGCTTACATGCAGCTGAATGGGTATAGGATTACAGCCTAAGGGGGAATATTCAGTCAGAAAAAAGTCCTGCAGCTCATAGTATTCTAGGGAATTGTAGAACTTTTTTCTGCCTAAACCTGAAGATAAGAATAGCTCCAAAAATAAGGATAGCTCCATATTTTTAAAAATTGTAAAAATGAATGTGAAATCTTTCCTATTTTGCTAAGGAAGGTTAAGTTTGCTGTCAGGTATGCTGGGTGGCCTGGCATTACTTTCCCAGTCTTCATTTTTTCTCTTTCTGGTTCTTTCATAAACATTAGAAAATGCTGCATTCCATTGTTAATTTCCCTAAAATGGATTTCAACATACATTTTTTAAAAATCAAGCATAACAATGTGCCTATTGATTTTTCAGATTGAAAAATCATATAAATTCTTTGATATCCCCATGGAAGTTCTGGAGTTGTGTTTCTCTAACATGGGGGTAAAGAATCTCAAACCTGATTGTCTTGGCTTTTGTGTAGTTTTTTCTTCATTCTAAGGTTGAAGTGACCATTCTAAAGTTGAGTAAGAGCTTCAGGCTAAAATAGTTTGGTATTTTTGGTTCTACCTCTTCTGTCTTTGCCTCTGCCAAACCTGGAATGTGACCCAAAATAAAATTTGAGAAATTTTAGCAGCACCTCCCTTGTTGAAATTAAAGGACATTTGAGGATCTTTTTGTGAAGTGCTCTGGGAATATGAACAATTTGTGAAGTGCATTGAGATTATGAACAAGGCAGAAACAGTCTACTGTTCTGGTGGATAGCTCTTTAAGTTCCAGCTTATGAACATCTTCCTTTGAAATGTCAGCATATGTCCAAAGACATTGTAGTTCATGCTTTTGGAACTAGTCTTTGTTTGTTTGTTTTGAATTAAAGGGTTATGAGTTGTAGTTTATAAATATATTGCAGTAGTTGATTCAGAATGACCATATGAACCATGGTGGGCCTCCTATGAATTCTATGCACAGTGAGTGAAAGTGCATGCATTATGTCTCTCCAGCCACACAATAAGACAAATTTTGCTACAAGTCCACAGCTGACTGAAAGTGCCATTGCAGAAATACAGTGAAATTTCCCTCACTGTGTAGTCGAGGTTAAAGTTCCCTTGTTGTATCTGAGTCTCCATCTTGTTGCAGTTAGTACACATTTGCCTCAGTTGAAATAATGCGAATTAATATAGCCATAATAATTTGTCCCACTGAACTTCTAACTTCATCTGGATCAGGCTTAATGAGTTCTGAAACAGCTGCTACAGCAAAAACAATCATTGTAATCTACTCAGCACTGCAGCAGTTGAGTGAGGGTTGACAGAGCATTGTAGTGGAAAGGGAAAGGGTCAGGATGAAAGAAGCCAACTGAGGCAGCAGCAAAACAGAAAAAAAAATGTAGTGGACTGTGGTTACATACCAGAGGCTTCTGAAACTAGGAACTTATGGGAAATTCCTCTAGAAGAAAGAAGATTCAGTGTGTCAGAATCCCAGAATCTCAATTTGAGAAGAGGAAATAAAACTCGGGTTCGTGGGAAAGATCAAGCGTCCAGACCATCTGACGCTTTATTGTATTACCCAGGTTCCTGCGGTACACTCACGATAATGCATTACCAGGCAGGCAGAGGTGAACTCTGCTGCCAAGCTTCAACACCATTACAGGGCATTTATACTCTCTTGGGCACAGGGCAATTGATGACAGAATGCAGAGATTACAATAAGATTCTGAGGTCATCACATACAGAGCAGATAAAGGAATGTCAGTCAATCATACAGTGACAATAGGATTACAATATTTCAAATTGCAGTGTATTGATATTTTAGTGGAGTAACTTGAACCCATCTCCAGGTTTGCTTAGACATGTAAATTCAAGCTACTGAGAAACTATTCATGATAAGCTCAGACCCTTATCTAGACTCTAGACATTCTGAATGACCAGGGCACATGCAGCCCTCTGGGCTATCAAAAGGTACTTCCTTGACTATTTACAATGTATATTTGAACTAAATGGCCTGTCTACTGTAGCTTACAGCTAAATGTGAGAGAAAGGAGTGGGGGATGAATGCAATTTTAAACAGTGACTTAGCTTGGATTGAGAAGTACAGGATTTGATCCCACAAGGCAAAAAAGCACATAGAAGTAATGCTTTTCAGGCAGGATTTATCCAAATTTTCCCAACAAGTGTCACCTTCAGGTAGATTTAGCTAAGCCTTATTACTACACCATGTGGTGATTGCAATAATAGTTCTCATTTATTTCATTACTGAAGACTACTTTCATTTCATTCACCACTTGTTCAAAAGACTTTAATGGAATTACACAGTTGTTGAAAGGGTGTTGGCTTCATTACTCGTGTTGCAGTCTTTCTGTGCTTTCTTAAACTCATATTTTGTTGCCAGCCCATGGGAATGATATTCAGAACAAAGTCAAGGTTTCATCTTTATGTCTTTAACATAATCAGGAGTTGTCATAAAATTAGCAGATTGAAATACGTAAAGATCTTGTGAAATTCATTCAGAGTGAAAATATAACAAATCATGTGCCTGTTTTACTTCTTTATAGTGCTTTGCTGTTCGTTCTTTGGGATGGGTAGAAATGGCAGAAGAAGATTTAGCTCCTGGAAAAAGCAGTGTTGCTGTTAACAATTGCATCCGGCAGCTGTCTTATTGTAAAAATGATATACGAGACACAGTTGGCATTTGGGGAGAGGTAAGAACTGTCTCAGTCCTATCTCTGGTCTCACCTGTTCTTTTGTGGTGCCTGCTTTTTCTTGCCCTTTCCCCTTACATAGGCAGGTAAGAGCAGCCACTATCAGAGAGAACAAGAAAGTAAAATAGCCAACAGAGCAGTATCTTTGTTCCAGAAGTACTGTACATTATTTGTCCTGAAAGGCATCTCTCCATCTCTGGCCATCTAGAGTAATTGTTGCAAAAGGGCTCATTACAGTTGTATGGAGACTTCAGTACCTGTCGATCTTTGTTAAGAACTTAATATGAATGATGATTCATTTCCCTTTTTGGCCCAAGCCAAAGGTTTTTCTAGTCCACCATCCTGTTTCCAGTAGCTTTCCTTTATTGATCATCTCAAGCATCTGACATTCAGAGCTTGCTACCTCTGGACTTGGGATTGATTATTTACTTTGATTTTTCCATGCATTTTTCTGGTTTTAAAGATATCCAAGCTACCACTCAAGAATAGAGAGAGAAAACCCTTTTTCTGTTCACCTTTTTCATATCAGTCAGCTTTGTATAAATGTCTGTCATATTCTTCCTTAGTTATTTTTCTTCTATACTAAAAACTCCAAATTTTTTAAGATTTCCTTAGTCCTTCAACCCACTGAAAAGTTTTGATTGCTCTTTTCAAATTGTTACCTGTAGATAGTATTCAAAATATGGCCCTACCACTGATTTTTATGTACGTACACTCTCACACTTATAGATTGTCTTACATCTATGCTAACCCTTGTGGTCTTTACAACGAAATAGAGACCTGGCATGTATTGTCCTTAGGTCAGGAGTAAGCAGCTTGATGCCTTTCAGACATTTTGAAGCACAACTTCAGCCACCACCAGCATAGCTAAAATACCTGTTGCCTACCCTTGCCTTAGGCTTTCCTCTTTAGGAAGGAATTTAACTGGTTTTGGTTTCTTCAACTAATTCTTCAAGAAAAGGAAAAGCTAGGTCAGTATTTAAAAATATGGAAGAGGAGTACAAGCAAGACTACAGTACCAAGATCCTATCATAGCACTGGGTGTACTTGACCATGGATAGTGCCAGAAACTCAGAAAAAGATCTTTCCTGATATTAAATAATTCACACCTTTTTTCTGAATAGTAATGCAAATATAGCAGTCTACTATTTCACCCATAGCCCCATATCATACCCTCACATAATAGATAAATTTCATCTTACTGCAGAAAGAACAGATAATATTCATTACTTCTGTTTTAAATATTCAAACGGATAATATTCACTACTTCTGTTTATGATGTGTGAGGTTGCCTGCACAGTTTTATGTGATCAATAAATGAATTGTTTTGTTAAAAGCAAATGCATAATAATGTGTGTACTGATTTATTTTTAAAATAGTATTTTATTCTCTCAATACTTGTTGAAATAGAAGCAAATTATTTTCACATGCTCACAGAACAAATTAACAAAATTGACGAAAAATGAAAATGTTTGCCCAGCTGCTAGAGAGGAAGAGGGCACAGCCTGGTGTAATTTTTTTTAGATGTCACTGAAATGGCAAGCCCTAACTAGACATGGGGGTCAGATCGGATAAACATACCTGTACTTGAGTGCTTGACTTGAAGAAACGCAAGGAAAGTAAAAAAATAAAATAGTAGCCCTTTTAATAAACTTGCAACATGTGAAAATCTGGTGGAAGTGCTAATGGTATTACAGGTCCTATGCAGCAAGGACGTCTGCGTTCTGACATTGACTGTATGCCAAATCAATGAACAATCTCTTCCAGGTGACAAATACAGTCTGTGTACAAAAATCACAATGTAGAGCTGTAACAAAATCCCATGCTGCAAATAAGTAGCAGTTTTATTTTATTTTTTTCCATGAAGAAACATCACATAGAAAAACCCTTTTTGTTTTTTTAACTAACTGACCCATCTATCTTTTGGAAGTGAGGGAATTTTTTTTAGCATTGTCTTATTAAGCTTGAGAAAACAAGCCACATGTTTGAAATAAAACTTCAAAGACACTAACTCAGAATGATTGGTTTCCTTTTTATGCTAAATTTTAACCCAGAGGAAATAAATATCAAACATTTCTTGAATTACTCCATGTTTATGACATTTGAGACGGTCTGCACAGAGCTTTTATGTAATCAATAAATGAATTGTGTTGTTAAAAGCAAACACATACTAATGTATACACTGATTTATTTTTAAAATAGCATTTTATTTTCTCAACACTTGTTGGAATGGAAGTACATTCTTTTCAAATGCTCACAGAACAAATTACTAAATTTTAGATAGGAAAAACTGCAACTAGTACATATCAAACCCACATTTACCAAGAGGATGGGCGGGGAGGGGGGTACTTCTAGGGAACAAATGACAGGGGTGAGAGATGCTTACCCCTTCCATTGCTCACCAGTTTCTTCATTTTTAATTAGGGGAAAGACATGTATCTTATCCTGGAGAATGACATGCTAAATTTGGTTGACCCCATGGATCGTAGTATTCTTCATTCTCAGCCCATTGTAAGCATCCGAGTTTGGGGAGTAGGTCGGGACAATGGCCGGTGAGTTTGGAATACTTTTTCTATCTCTATATGTCAAAAGTTGTTTGTATAAAATACAGTGGAATGAGTTCTTGCTTTCTTGAAACTGTGAGGAAAAATGAATAGCTTGAGTGACAAAGTGGATGTCTAGCTGTAGAGCTGCATTTTATTTATTTATTTATTTATTATTTATTTATTAAAACATTTTTA